AAAAATATTGTTTTTCTTCGTCAAAAAAAATGGACAGATAATCCATCATTTTCAATCATTTTTTTCCATTTTATAAAAAAGATGAAAACCTGACTGATATTCTTTTAAAAATCAATTATCATTTTTTCAAAACTTATTTTAATAGAATCAGAAATTATGTTTATTTAAAATATTTTGAACCAAGCATAGTTTAGCTTCTGCGCCGAAGAAATGTAATTTGAAAATAAAACAAAGCAGGTCATAACCTTTCGCGTCATTTGACAGGTGACGAAAGACAGATTCATGACGTTTAGATAACTTACGGGAGGATAATTCTTTCTACGGATGGAAGGAAGTGAAATTATTTAGATTTAAGTGAACAAATTATTTACCTCGTTACTTTTAAGGAAAACTTTCAGTGCTCTAATTTTTAAATTTTTTTTTTTTGTACTTAGCTTTCATCTTTATGTTTACAATGCTTTATGGAAAATATAAAGAAATTAAAACATAAGACTGTTGTTAGTGAGATTAAATTTCATAAGAAAGGTATCTATAGGTACCTTTCTTATGAAATTTTATATGAAGTGTACATAAAATACTATAATTTTATGTACATTTACTACATTTTACTGTGTTATTTGTATTTCCATTCATTTTATTATTAATTTTGATATTTCATTTATGGAAAAATGTCATAACTGAGATTAATATAAAAATAAGATCATATAAATTAAAGTTTAGCAGTAGTTAAATTTCATAAGATGATACTGATACTTATAGGTACACTTCTCAATTGAAATTGAAAAATCAAATTAAATTCTCCATACATGTTTCGCAAAAGTAAAGGCCTTAACAGCGGAGAACAATGCTGAATTCAAATAATGCAACTAAATTGTATTCTGGTTGGTCTTCCGTACTTTATAATTACCGCCCGATTATAAACACAAAAATTACATTTCTTAATTACTTCCGATTGGTCCAAATGATACAATTTTCAAAGCGCTAGACAATGACAATCTTATAAGGACAATTTGAAAGGTTGACGTTGCTTTTAACTAATGTTATAATATTTTTAAAAAACTTAATGTAAAAATCTATCATAATTAAAGAAATAACAAATAATTGTATTAAAAATTCAATTTTCATTGAAAAAATTTTTTGCTTTCAGAAAATATTGTCCATATTCATACAAACAACTAAAAATAAATAAAAGCATTTGAAATTAAATAATATCTTTGTTTTATTGAGTTTTGTATGTTACAATTCAGAGCTGATTTTCAGGTACGCGGGATCCAATTAAAAAGAAAAAAAGAAAAAAAAAAAAAACATGATTTGCATTCTTCAAAGCCTTGTGCTTTTAACTATTGTAATCACTAAACCCGATGTGATCGAATTTCTAGAGTTTTTCATAAAATTAGTTATGGGGGTGTTAATGAATATAAAAAAAATATTTCTGCCATGACTTTGATGAAGATGAAAAAAAAAAAAAAAAAAATACATATTTATAATAATTTCAATCATCTGCGAATAGTTTCTGAAAGTTTCATTAATATCTGACAATTATTTTTTATTTTTGCAAGATTTTCCAAATTAAGGTGTGTAATACAAAAAAAACATGCTAAAAATTATCTATGTTATTTTTACTAGTTCCAGTGATACAAAGAGAAACAAGGTTTTTTTAATCAAAATTTAGAATGTTCTAAAAAGGAAAAATTTTAAAAAAATAATTAAAAAAACTTTGGTCTTTCCTCTTCATAAAAACATAAGCATTTAGATGATAAAATTTTGTTTTCATAAAGTTTGGCGTCTTTTTCATCAGACTATGCTCTTTTTTTTTAGCGATTTCGTGGAGTTACCTATGTTAACTGTATGAAATCAAATGATCTTTAAGACAGTTTCTTTCACTAATTTTGGAGTCAAAATGAAGAATTTGAATTTTTTTTTTAATGAATACAGAGGTGTGCAGGTTATTGTAATACATTGTTGCCTTTTGGGACTTCTTTAATTTCTTGCAAGCAAGCAGTCAGGAGAACTGTTGCAGTGAGATGTAATATGTTTTATCTCATCTGACATATGTGAAAACTGAAATTTGTTTGATAAGCAGATGCTATTTCTGCTTACGTTGGAAAACACGCCGATATAAACATTGCTTTACTGAATATTCTCATTGAATTACAGTGTAATGAAGCAGCAAAATTTAAAGATGGAAACAATATATGAAAAAGTAATGACACTTAAGAAATAGAAATAATCTAGGAGTAGCAATGTTGTACATTATTAGTTTTACTTCATCTTACCCTGTTGAAACTGGCTTTAGCCATGTGTTTCACTATCAAAAACTCATAATTGACATGACATTGTAAAATGAAGTGATTTATCAGAGACAATGCTGGAAGCAGGCATTAAAATACTTGCAGATCAGCCACAAGGATTTAAAAAAAAATGAATAAATTGCTTATGTACATTAATGTTTCAAAGAATTTTGCTGAAATAAGTTTATTTTCATTTATTTATAAAATAATTAGTTTTAGAAATTTTTATAATACAACTGCTACTTATATATACTGTCACCCCCACCTCTTAAGGCCATCAAAATAAATGCTGAGTCAGAAGGAGGCCATGTAAAAATAAAAAATGTAGATAATTACGGTTTTAACCTCAGAGACACAATTTTAAAAACATTTTGGGGGTAATACCAAGCTGTCATTTTAGTATATATTACTGTGTGTTCATGTGCACAAGTGAGTTAAAGTGAGCAGTGTTAAGCTACATGCCTTCCTCACTGAAACAAGGTCTTGTACTCAACCACTTGATTTGACACTATCAGACTTATTACCTAATTCATGACATTACAGCAATACATGTTGATGCAAATAGGACTGGCACAAATATTAGCAAAAAATGAGACAACTTATGGCAAAACATTTTCTAAGAATATTGTGAGTGATTGAGAAATTCATTTCTATAAAATTACACTATAAAACTAGAGTATGTTTACAAGATTACCTTTTAGTTTGACTATTACTTTTTTCATTGTCTAAATAGTGAATAACAATACTTAGTAAAACAAACTAAAGAAATTAATGTTAGAACCTGTACATACTAAGTTAAACAATCAACAAAATCATTTGTAGTATTTAAATTATACATCCCATGTTTGCATGACATCACAAATTTTAAATTAGAAAAAAACATCAGGTTTATGCCATCACTAATGCCCAAAAAGTGAAATACCAACAAAGATGCTAACAATGGCGCTATATATATAAGTGAACCACTAAGATAATATTGAAAAAATCTGTTTCCTTTTTTCCCCCAGATAATGAACATATAGTTTAAGATTAGTTGATTAAGAAAAATCTTTACTGAACGAATTACAACCACTTTCAAAATATTTTATGAAGCTGTAATAAAAATATTAATTAAACATTAAAAATATATTTTTTTTTAAGCAGACAAGTTAGATGTAAGGGGGGGGAGGAGGAGGAGGAGAGTTTAATCAAAACTATTTTATACCAGTAGGCATTACATCAAGTAAGTGGGATAACTCCTGCAGTTCTAGAATAGTGCAAACAATTTTCTGAATTGTCAATAAAATTAATATCTCAACTTCACCAATTCTTTAAGGAGTGAGACAAAAATCTGAATTTTTTTTAAACATCCCATTATTATAGGTATCTAAGATTTAAAGTGACAAAGAAATATCAGGACAAAAAATTAACATTGGCCTGGTGATAAAACATTACAATTGTCAATTTTGCTACAAAATTCTATTATATTTATTATAAAAACCAATTATTTCTAAAAAATATTCTTACTTTACACAAACACACAAATCTTTAAATTGGTGAATGAAACCAAAGTGAAGAGTTGAAAGAATTTAAATTTACAAATTATTTATCACCTAAATGTGAAAAACAAAAGTATCAAATTGAAAGAACTAATTTTCTTTTAATAAAGAAAGCAAAGAAATTATCTTTTTTTTTACTGTTAATATTTGGTTAAAAAAAAAAAAATTTAATGAACCATCCATTAACAACATTTGTGTTTTCTGCTTACCATAAACTAAATTGAAAATACAAGGAATAATTAAAAAGAAGTATAAACACAATTTAGTCACAACATAAAGGTATTTGCAAATGATAAATTTTGATAAGAACTAAAAAAAACTTTTTGTGAATAGTTGGAATGTGCAAATCTTTATATAGAAAATAAATTAGAGCACAATTTTTCTGAACATGAAAATTAATAAGATTTGCTTAAAATTATCCAAGGTGATTTAAGTGAAATATTTATATAAAAATGATTTTTATAAAAACTACAGTAAAATTAACCAATTTGTTTTGTATTTATTCAGTTTTAATATTTTAATGTTTTATTGTGTTACTAAGTAAAAAAAAAAAAAAAAAAAGGGACAGAGCAAGAATATAAAAGGCTGAAACACTAATATTCCATGGTTATAATTTATTACATTGGAATTATAATCATAATCCAATTCATCAGACCTACAAATTTTAAAAATTGAATTTGTAGGTCTGATGAATTGGATTGTGATTCCAATGTAATAAATTATAAACATGGAATATTATATATATATGAGAGAGAGAGAGAGAGAACTCTAGCCCCAATTTATTGAAAGAATTAATCTGCAATCTGTCCTCTTGAACCCTTTAGCATTCAAGGCAGCCCCATAAATAACAGCTCTCAAAGTCTCACCGTTTGCATGGCTTTCTGCATTATTTGTGATGATGCTGTCATATATTATGGCAGAGTATACATGGGGTGGGTTACAACAGGTTGAAAATGGAGAGCTGTATTTACAGGGTGAATTGAATGTTAAAGTGACATGACTCAAGTGCTAACTCATTAAATTTAACTTTTTTTTTTTTTTTTAATTCATGTCTGTACCTTATAAAATATTTGCTAATGTATAAGGTTTGTAAATTAAATGTTTAATAGATTTTCAGGACAAGTTTTTAAAGGATATGAAAAATCATTAAGAATGAACATTTAGTACTCACCTGCTGTACATATCTGTCTGTTGTTTTCCACATGTAATAATATTCAATTATACTTTTTAAAGACTTCCAAGGCAACTGAAGTGAGGAAAAGAAATTAACTTTTGTAGAGAAATGTTTACTGAGAATTACAACACACACAAAAAAAAAAAAAAAAAAAAAAAAAACAGAAACAAAAAAATCTTGATCAATAAGTATAATACTGATTAGATATTTTTTAAGCAATGCATGCTCACAAAAGGAAATGTACAACTTTTGTGTCTAAGTGTTTTTTCAGTTTCAGTACCCAGAAACCATTGACAAAAGTACATATAAGAACAAGTCAAGAAATTCTGCACTTTTATAGGTTAAAGAAGCAATATTTTTACCAACCAAGAAAGACCTGGTTGTTAAACCAGGATTAAAATTTCTAATTGGCATAGGTAAAAAAAACCTTCAAAGTTGGTGAGCAACCAGGTGAGAAAAAACTCAGGTCTACATAATTTCCTTTATAAGATTAGCAACATTTGTTGATTATCACAAGACAAAATATTCATTGTAAACAAACATTAAGATACCTCTGAAACATTAAATTTAAATAAACAATAATGTACATGTATATTCTACAAAGAGAAATCCATGTTATTTCGTTTAAATTTACATTTAAAATTCAACATATGTCTATATCCATAAATATCCATTAGTTTGCAAAATAAAACAAGTCAAAATTGCCCAACAAATTTTCATTTTAAATCTATACCATAGGATCATATATTTAGCATAAAATTCAACTAAATATCTATATCTTAACAGTTATTATCCTGCAAAGTCAAACTAAGTTATGCTTAGTAAGTAAAACTCTGCCCAGGTACATGCATATGCATGTGTGTATTTGAGCAGGATGTACAAATTATCCTTAGAACTAGATTATTTTTTAAGCAGTTGAGAGGCAAATTTATGGTTGTTATAATCAATAAGTACATCTAGAAAAGAGATTTAAAAAAAAAAGAAAAAAAAAAGAAAAGAAATCAATATCTAATTCAAAAGCGAATTTTAACACAATTTTTTTTTTTTTTTTTCAAAATTATCTTTAGGTTCTATGACATTGTTTTAATTTAAAACAAAAAACAAACAAACCAATCTATCTTAAATAGTGGGTTTATTTACTTTATTAAATATTTTGTTTTCAAGATGGGTCATCTAGAAGTTAGAGAATAAAGGACTGCCCATAGCGACACAATCAGTCTGGGTATAAATATTATCTAAATAATCATTAAATGGAACATGCATTGTACAAGTTTTTGATTTTTATAATAGTAGTTCATTTTTAAAGGTGAGAGAAAAGAATGATAAATATTGTTGAATATCAATTTTTTTTTTATTAATTGGTATGTTAGCAATTAGGTTTTCAACATCTAATGATGCCAATATTTCATTCTGTGATATACAAGAGTGGATGATCTGTAAGAATTCATGCTATATTTTGTAGGGAAACATGCTATGATAAATTGGTGTGATGATTTGTGATATAATAGGGCATAGTGGGTTACTTGGATTGACATAAATGTAGCCAAGGTGATATTCACTTTTAACTGTGTTAAATCCTCCACCCATATAATACACTACTTACACACTCCTGAGGATAACTCATGAGAGCTGAAAGCTTGGACCCAGCATTATATATAATTTTTTGTATTTATGTCTGTTCACTCTAGGAGTGCTACTGGTACCATGTAAGTCAATACTATCTTCTGCATTGTTGTGTCATTGGCAACTAAAACAAGTTTCCTCAACCAGGCTTTTCTAATAAGATAAGTGGCTAGACACCCAGCAAGATTAAAAAAAAAATCTGTCATATGGTAGATGAACCATCTTGCCAAGTCAACAGCCATCTAACACACAAAATGTGCAGGGATGTAGTAATAACCAAGATGGTCTGGGCATGCTGCAAGCCCATGAGAGAGTTCTTTGAACAATTTTTTTTAGCAGAGAGGAAAGCTCTCATGTAACACCTGAAATGCAACTAGTTATTGATCATCCCAACCCTTGTTGGGTTCTGTGAAAAGAGTTTTTGATTCTCCACAAAGATTTATCCACTCTAAATAGGTATCCCAAAGAAAGTTGTAAAGTTTCCTTCCATTTCACCTGCTGATAATTCATTTATTTTTTAGGCTATTTTGACAAAATTAGTATGTAAACAAAATTTCATCTTTTATCTTTATAAAAGACTCCCCCACCCCTCATGTGGAATAAAAAAATAAAAAATAATCTTCATCACAACTTTTTAAACTCATTATTTCAAAAACAGGCGCTTATTTTTTTAAAAATTTTCATTGCTTTTTTTATGAACTGTGACTTGTCATTTACTAACGCATTATTAATTTCAACGTCGAGTTTCAACTTGGCCTTTTAATTAAGAACTATGCCTATGTTTTCACTCAGATTAGGTGTCAATTTCTTCTTTTATATTTTATTTACATGGTGACCCCTCTGTGGGCTGCTGCAGACCCCAAATTCTTTGCAATGTATGCTGATAAAGTTAAAAATTGTGTGATGAAGGAAATAGACATTACTTTGATATAACTTTTAATGAACTTCATCTTCATTTCTAAGGGAACAAAGGAAAGAAGAAAACATACTGAGTGAACCACTTCAAATGACCTTAACTTCAGTATACTATTACTCCCAACTTTTACATTGACCAAGTCATTGATATTACATCTATCAATCTTTAGATAAGAATGGTGAAGCTTGGCTGTTGCTTTGGATATCTTGAAGTCATTTGACAGGGTTTAGCATACGGGTCTTAATATGCTGGAAGGTATTTACACTATTTATACTGTTCGAACTGTGGTCTTCATCTTTATTGCCATAGTCACAACATTTTGGCAGTTGTATGCTCCACTCAGACCTTATTTTGTTGATATTAGTCAGAATTTTAAACCAAACATTTTAATTAGTCCACGAAACATTGTGAATATGGCAATAAAGACAAAGACAACAGTCTGAGCAATGAAAGTAGTCCCAATAACTTATCTCTGAAATATAGACAAAGTTGAAAGGTTATGGTATTTCAGAATGGCCACTCTTCTAGATCCTTTTGTATTATTGATGTATGCATTCCCCAGGGCTCTATCCTTGGACTAATTTTCTTAATTTTCATAAATGACCTCCTTCCTGATGTTGTCAATTCTCAGCTTGGTACCTATGTTGATGACAACTATTTACTCCAGTCTTAAAATGAATTCTGATCAGTTTGATATGGTTAAATTGGCAGATATCAAAAAATCTCCTACAATCTGTTAAATGGGGCAAAGAATGGCTTGCTAACTGAGAGGACTCAGTATGTTCCTTCAACATGGCTGATACTAACTGCCACAAGAGTGACTCATTGCACTTCCTTGGACCATTTTCTTCTGACATGAAGTGGAAATATTCTATTGAATCAATTGCTAAGTCTGCAGATAGGAAAATTGGTTTATCATGTCGAGCTAGACAATTTCTCTCATCAGAATTTATCTTACATATTTATAAAACTACTATTCATCCTTGCTTTGAATATTGCTGTCATATTTGATCTGGTGTTCCTGCTATATATTTAGAGATTCTTGACAAAATTCAAAGAAGAATCTGCAATGTTATTGGTTCTGACATCTTGGTTTCAGTCACTTTCTCACCACTATAATGTAACTTTCTTGTACCTTTTCTATAAATACTTTCATGGTAATTGTTTGGATGAACTTTCCTCTGGTACATAAACTTTGAATTTAAGCACAGTACTAGATTGGTGGCAAGGTCTCATCATTTTACAGTTGAAATGGCTGCTAGATGTAACTATCGCATTTCTAGCTTGTGAAACTCTTACAGCTTCTTGCTTTCCTGTCAACTTTGATCATCAAAAATTTAAATGCAATGTCAATTATTATCTTCTGCCTCCTTAATTCTTGTTTTTTTTTTTTTTTTTATTCTCTCTCCTTCATGTTTTCTTTTTCTCAATTTAACACCCAGTAACCCCTTTATTGGCTTACTTGGGGTGAAGTTACAAAAAAAATGTCCAGTGCTGTACTAAGAAATTAGTTCCAATCAAAAACAGAAATGGCATCCAGTAAAGTTATTTAATATTCCTCCCTGAGAAATTCCAAAGTACTTTTTGTGACAGACAGGACTTATCACTCATTACGACCTGAGGATAGTGGCTATAATGAGGTGAAATGCGTTGCCGGAGCAAGCTTCTCCACTGTATCTCATCATTACACATACAACTTAACTTCTGAGATTTTTTTTCTCACACTTATAATTTCTACAAGGAAATGAAAAGAAAAAAAAAAAAAAAAAAAAGAAGAGAAAGAGGAAAGAAGAGAAAAAAATATTAAACATTTTAAATACATTTAGAAAAGTAAAATCAAATAATGGTTTAGCAATATTCTTGCCTGGACTGAAATGAGACATTTACCTAAGCTGAAGATTGTAGCAAAGAGATGAGTAGCAACTGCTCTATCACTAAAAATAGTCAAAGTAATAGGATACATGTACTAGAAAGAAAGGAAAAAAAAAAAAAAAAAAAAGTAAGAAAAGGGAATTGTCTCATAAATCAAATTTTTTTTCTTTATGTCACACCAAGAATAATATGATCGCGATTAGTTAATCTAATCACACACACGTATATATATATATATATATATATATATAAAAAAGGGCTTTTAGTTTAACTGATCATGATCATATTATTACAAGTTTGACACTAAGAAATAAAATAAAAATTTCAGAAAATATATTTTTTCCAAAATTTTTTATATTACTACATAACTCATATCTTATTTAACTATTCTTAGCGATTTAGTAATTTCAAATGGTTCAGAGTATTTTGTGTTTTTCTTGGCAGTTGAAATTATTAAATATTTTTGAATTGCTTACAGAAACCCACTAGCATACTAAATATATAAATGTAAAAGTTGTTCTGGTGTCTTCATAAAGCTGTACAGAGTCAATATTTCATGAATGCAGAACCCAATTTTGTTCTGTTATAAATATTTCCCAACATTTTTGATTATAAAATGAAATTAAAATGTTGGATAAGGTTTTACAGATATGTAACATTT